TGGAGGTTGGATGGAATTGAGCTTAACAATGACAATTCAAAGGAGGTTGGAAGGAAAACAGAATGACGTTGTCGCAATTCAAGTCAAGATTCATCATCGCTTCATCCGCAACCAAGACGAGCTTAATGTAGATCATTGCTTGGTATAGTAGTTTAGGTTTATACTTTGTGTGTTTAAACTTAAAGCTCAAAATTCATACACACACACACACACACACACGTATTATTTCATATTTTGAGTTTTTGGATTATAGACTGAACAATATCATTTTATATCATTTCCAAAATCGATTAATCCACTAAAAAGGATTTCAAAATTTAGTTGAAATCGTTTTGTCAAAATCAAGTATTTAAACGAACTCATATTTTTGAGATTTTTATAAAATGATAAGTTTTAACAAATAGGAAATAACATTTCAAAAATTTCTTCTCTAACATGTTTATCTTCATGTATATAAATATTTCTCCAAGTTTTATAATTTTTGGAATTTATTTGCTATTTTTAAACATACTTTGAAAATCAAGTTTACTGTGCATATAAGGGTTGTATATATTTTTCAGTCGACCAACATTGTTCATCAGTTGACTGATAAACTGCTCTGCAATCATTAGTTTTATTTTTGCTCAGTCGACTGATCTTTATCAATCGACCGAAGCAGCCTATCAGTTGACCGATGATGATTATCAGTTGACCGATAGAGTCCTGGATGCTACCAACGGTCGGCTCATCGGTCGACTAACATCTTTATCAGTCGACCGATAAGACTGTAACGGCTAGTTTTGGCAGTCTTTCTTTGAGGGGTTATATATACCCCTAAATGCTTATTTTTTAGCCAAGTTTTTTAGGTGTTTCATAAGTGTGTTTAAGACAAATTGGTTGCTCGTTTTTAACAAGGAATTAAGTGTTTGTTTGTTTGATAAAGAGAGTTTACAAAGAGGAGAACCGAAATTTCATTTTTGAGGAGTTCAACCTCAAAATCATCATCTACAACTCTTTGTCTTTTAGAGAAGTTTTTCTAACTCTTTCTTCTAGCTAATCTTATATTTTGATTCTCATATTTTTATGCTAGATAGAATTGAGTTTAATTTTGTTATTGTTCATTGTTTACACACACAACCATTTGAGCTTAAGTATTTCACATTTTGTATACTTGGGTTGTGGGAGTGTATCTTTGAGTGAGCTTCAATTTTGTTCTCATTTGTATTAGAGAATAAATTCATTTATTTGAGCTTATTGTTGTGAAACACATTGTAATACATAAGGACACTTAGATGAGTGGTTATGAGATGAACATGGTCAATTCCAAAAAGAGTGGTTTGGTAGTAAAGCCTAGGGAGAGGTGGTAAATCCAAACACTTGAGGAAGGTGACACGGGTCGGCCAACACTTAGAGGAGTGTATTGTGTGATTGTTAATGAGTAATTTGTAAATGTTATCGGTGAGCGTTAAAAACCGATTGTGTAGTTATTTATATTGTGATTAGTGGATAATCTCCTCGAGGGTGAGGAGCGAAAACGTAGTTTGAGGGTTGACCAAACTCAGTGATCATATTGCATGTTTGTGTTTGGCATTGACTCACTTATTCTAGTGTATATTTTCATATCGCCTATTATCTTATGTTTATATCGCCATTTGTTTAAATTATACTTTCTTGCATATATCACTTGTGTATATCATATTGCTAGTATATTGTTAATAAGTTTTAATTTGGCATCGATATCGGATTAGATTAGCAAATACCCTATTCCCCCCCCCCCTCCTCTAGGGTACTTTCACCAGCAACCCTAGCAAAGATCACTGGATTGCCTTAGAGAGAGTATTTAAATACTTGAAAGACATAGTTGACTATTACTTGACTTACATTGGGTACCCTGATGCAATAGAAGGGTATATTGACGCTAATTGGGTCACGGATTCTAATAGTGTAAAGTCTACATCTGTATATGTATTCATGTTTGGTGTTGCAGCTGTATCCTGGAAATCCTGTAAGCAAATAGTAATTGCCAGGAGCACCACGGAGTCTGAATTGATTGCTCTTGATACCACTTGTACAGAAGCAGAATGGTTAAAATATCTACTCTCTAAACTTCCTTTGGTCCCTACATCCTCTTCTCTAATTTCTATTCATTCTGATTCTAGATCCACCATAGAACTTCTAAATCAAGTGCATGTAAATAAAAAACTTAACATACATATTCAAATAAGATATAAGTATGTACAACACCTGCTAGGTAAAGTTGTGATTCTAGACTTTGTAAAGTCTAAAAAGAATCTTGTCGACCCATTGACTAAGGGTCTATCCAGGAGTGTGGTTCTGGATTCATCGAGGGAGATGGGGTTAAGCCCATAGATAAGATCACTGACAGCAGGAACCCAACCTTTATTTGGAGACATAGTCCCAATATATGTTCAATGTGGTAGAAACAAGCTGGACTAGTGACACTCATGTAGAACATCGACCTAGATATATTTATATATCATTATAGTAACATCTGCTGCTACCCCTTCTCTATGGTGATGATGCTCTTATGATACATCTGATTAGGTTGAGTTTTACTCTTAATAAGTCTAACGCATGTATTATGGAGGGTATGATATCCAGCTGTAGTATCATTGGAGGATTTACCTACGTGAGAGGAACCGTGATGGTCGTGGTTGGAGGGGGGGTGGGGAGGGCTGGGCTAACCCCTAGAAACTCTGATGAGTCGATTATCGTGAGCATGACCTTTAATGCTCAACCCGCTTTTCTCAATAGATGAAGACGTATTATGTGTGTTTTCATCAATACCTGGTACAATGGGCCTAATTCAAGGCCTAGTCCATTATGTCCCTCAGGCTGTGATGAATCCACTAAGGAAACGTTCAAAGCCGAAAGCTACATCTCCCGAATTCACGATACGAAAGGTTGTCCAACCTATATTTGTTTTATGATTTATTTATTTTTTATTATTATTGAGTTTTCAGTCAAATATTGCCTTTTGGGGGGGGGGGGGTCAATATTGTGGGAGAAAAGTCAATTTTGCCTTCAATGAATAGTCCCACATGGACTAAGTTAGTGAACAGTAGAGGGTTTAAATTGGTTCTCCTCTCTTTAGGCTTTGAGGGTCCCCATGAAAGGGGTGTTTTGGGCTTTCATTTGTTTGGGCTTTGGCTAACACACACATGCGTGCACGCCCACCGCGCGCGCACACCCGCTACGTTTTGAATTTTTTACTTCTTTTTGCACGTTTTTCACGTGGAGAACGTCCGTAACGGCTGCATGTTTTTTTGGAGAACATGCAAACGGTTGAACGTTACGCGCGAATTTAGCGAACGTTATGTGAGGATTTCTCAACGGTTAAGGGTTTCTCAACCCTATATATACCGCCTCTTACCAGCTCGGAAATACACAACGACGAAAGTTCTTCTCCCTCTCTCCTGCCTTCAAAAGTCGAGGAAAATTCTCCACTTTTCTCCCTCTCAAAAATTTGCTACTGTTGCTTATTTTATTTGGGCAATCTTCTTTATCCGAGTAGAACCTCTATACTCTCGCCCGAGTACAGAGGTTGACTGTTTCCGGGGGCTTTTATCGCTAGGGGAGAAGAGATTATCTATGCCAGGGCAATAGGCGGGTCCTTAATTTTTTAGGACAGTGCTTGCACGACTGCTACCTGATCAGACCAGACTTTTCTGTTTATTTTATTTTCGAATTTATTTGCATGCTTTAAGTTTACTTAATAATTTCTCTAATATCCGCTTGCACACCTCGGGATTCTCTTTCAGGTCAGTTCTTTTCTCGATTTGGGTCAAGAAACGAGTGGTTTTTAAATTATGTTGAAGAATATAGTGGAGAATTTAAGGGTTCCAATTGATTTGTACAACTTCGGTTAATGAAACTTGCTTGTAAAGTTTCCAGCAGATGCTTGAGGCCACGGTGTTGCAGGAAGAAATTTGGGTCATGGTTTGGGTGACGCAGAGGGGAGTGAGATGGAGGGAAAAAATGTGAAATTTTAATGCTACAGTTTGAAGGTGGAGGAGGACATTAATATACATAGGACTACTAGTCCCCTATATATTAGGGCTTAAACAAAATTTACAAAGCGTCCATTAATTACACGGGACTAGTTAGTCATGTGTATTTTAAATTTGATATTTTGTAAAATCAACCTCTTTTTGGCCGGTCTTGATGACATGTCAAAAAAGTCGATTTTACTTATTAGTTTGTAAAACGGTCATTTTTACCTAATTATTTTTTTAAAAAAAGTCTTTTCCAAAAAATTCTCCTAATAAGAAAAGAAACATTTTCTAAGTATCACATTTATAAAATGATTGCGAGAGTACACATTCATTCAAACCCAAACTCTAGAAAAAAGTTCATCGGAGTACAAGCTAGGAAAAGATTATATTAGACTTTAAATTATTGATTTTGAGCCTGCTTTTGATCGATTTTGATGTTGATTTTGGTAATTAGACATCCATGATTAACCGCATCACAACCATGATTAAAATTTTGGATGGTAAATATAACAAAGGGGAATTTCAAACACTTCAAATATTTGGAGGACTAATTGCAAGATACAAAGTTTTCAGGGACTATTCTCAGATATGAAAGCTTTAGGGGATTAATTTCAAATATGAAAGCTTTCGAACCAATTTCAATATGAGATTTTGAGGGACTAACATGAAAATACTTATATATTGTTAAAATTAGCACTCTGACACGTCATAGAATCAGAATAATCAAGGAATGATAAAACAAAGAAGGCAACTCGTGCAGGAGAATCTGGACAGCTAAGGATTCTGTCATGACTCATGGAGGAGGCGATGCTTCTTGATTTCTTTACTTAGATGGCTGAAGTTATTACTTATTTTGTATATGTTAAATATAGAAAAGAAAACAAAAAAGGAAGGAGATCTATTTGTAATTCTATAAGAGAAGCTGTATTGTAACAGCAGAGGGACAAGATAGAAAAAAAAACGATTGTAATGCTCAATTCAATTGATAAATAAATCAGGGTGGGAAGGGAGTTCTTGGGAGTGTGTTGTTCTCTGTGTGCATGATTTTTTGTCATGGTATCAGAGCAAAGTTCCGATCTTGGTTTCTGACTGCTCTATATTTTGGTGGTATTGTTTTTGAAAAATGTCAGGTTCTGAGAAGGGATCCAAACCAGAAGAACAAACCAACACTGCAACCTTAATTGAGCAAATGGCGAAGATGATGACTCAAATGGCAGCTATGCAAGCTGCTGCCATGAGTAACCCTCAACCGGTGACACACAGCGTTGCCATAACAGAGGGAGGTAGGCATTCAAAGCCGATTGATGTGAAGATGGATGGCACAAACTACACCTACTGGTGTCAGGCCATAGAGATGTATGTCAAAGGTCGTGAGAGGATGAGACACCTGACGGGTACCCCGGCACCGCCTGGTATGAATGATCCGGAGTTTAGCAAATGGGAGGTCGATGATGTGATTGTCAAGGGATGGCTCATAAACTCTCTAGAACCAAGGTTACAAAGCAAGTACATCCGTCATCCTACAGCAAGAGACGTTTGGAAAGCGTTAGAAACCACCTACTATGACGGAAGTGATGAGGTACAGGTTTTTTCACTCAACAGAAGGGTCACACGCCTCAAGCAAGAAGGGAAGAATATTGAAGAATTTTACGATGAGCTTCAAGCATTATGGCAAGAGATTGATTTTAGATGCCCAAACCCCATGGATACCCCAAATGATATTGAGAAGTTTAATCTCTTTATTCAAAAAGCGCGAGTATATACTTTCCTCGATGGTCTTGAGGATCGTTTTGATGCAATTCAGGCTCAAGTTCTTCAACTAAAACCATTCACAACAATAGAACAAGCCTTCGGTCATGTGAGACATGAAGCAACTCGACAAAGTGTGATGATGAAAGAATACAACGATGCCACAACAAACTCACTCGCCATGGCAACAAAGGGGTACAGATCATATGAGGTAAATCCAAACTCAACTAAAAAATTTGGGTTTACTGACAAGTCTAAGTTGAAATGCTCAAACTGTGGTGGCACGAGACATACGAGAGAAGGTTGTTTTGAGTTGATCGGTTATCCAGACTGGTGGAAAGATCCAAGAAAAAAGAAACAAGGAGATAACAGCCGAGGCCGAGCAAGCTTAGTAGTTTCCAGGGAACCTCAGCAAACAGGCGTCAAAGAGACAGACAACCTCTCTCATGTTGACCGCAGGTGTGTAGCAGCCACTACTCAAGTCCGAAGGGAACAAACTGACCATACTCAAGCTCCTGACACGGCGCAAACATACTGTGCAACAGGTACTGATCAAGGGGAGCAAGGCAAAGGTAAATCTGGTACAAAGTGTATGATTAATAACAGTAGTAAAAATATGAATTGGGTAATTGACTCTGGGGCAACAGACCATATGACATATGAGGATGGTGAATTTAGAGAAATAAGGAAACCTCATAAAACCGGTATTATTAATGCTAATGGAGAGATGTATCCAGCAACAGGGTCAGGTGATATTTATATCTCCCCAAGGTTCACTCTTAATAATGTTCTCTTAGTCCCATCTCTGTCTACAAAGTTGATGTCAATTAGTCAATTAACAGAGGACTTAAATTGTGTTGCCATTATGTATCCTAATCATTGCGAGTTTCAGGATATACTCTCGGGAGAGACGATTGGCCATGGTACTAAACGGAATGGACTGTATTATTTGGAAGAGTTGAAGACAGGGAGAGCTTGTCTTACCTCAGAAATTGGAAATGTTCAAAGAAATAAAGTGCTTTTGTGGCATAAAAGGCTAGGTCACCCGTCTTTTGGGTATATGAAAAAGATCTCGCCACATCTTTTTCCAGGTTTGAATAATGAAGATTTTATTTGCGAAACTTGTATTAAGGCCAAGAGCCATAGAACCAGTTTTGGTAATAGTTTGAATAAATGTGTTGAACCTTTTGAGCTTATTCATACTGATGTTTGGGGACCCTCCCCGGTTATTTCTAAATCTGGTGGAAAATGGTACGTTATTTTTGTTGATGATTGCACACGAATGACCTGGCTATACATACTGAAAACAAAGGATGAGGTTCCTAAAATCTTTCAAAATTTTCATAAAATGATCACAATACAGTTTGGAAAAAAGATTAAAATGGTAAGAAGTGATAATGGCACGGAATATACAAACAGAGATCTACAAAGTTTTTTTTTCAGAAAATGAAATCCTCCATGAGACCTCATGTGTAGGAACTCCGCAACAGAATGGTGTAGCAGAAAGGAAGAACAGACATCTACTGAAAATAACTAGATCGCTATTATTTGAGAATAAGGTACCTGCTAGTTTTTGGGATAATGCTGTTTCTTTTGCTGTTTATCTCATGAATAGAATGCCTACTACAGCAAACAATTTTCAAACTCCCTTACAAAGTCTGTCATCACACGTTCATATACCCTCTATCCTGAATTTACCTCCTAGAGTATTTGGTTGTAGTGTGTATGTACACATCCAGAAACATAGCCGCAACAAACTTGAATCACGTGCAGAGAAATGTGTATTTCTAGGGTGTGGACAATTTCAGAAAGGGTATAAATGTTATAATACTTCTACTAGAAAGTTTTATGTGACTATGGATGTGACTTTTTTAGAAAATGAAGCATATTTTAGACAAAACCATGATCTTGCTCAGGGGGAGAGTGAGAATGACCAAGATCTTGATTTTCTGCAACTCAGCCAGCCTATTCAAGCAACAAATTCAGACTTATGTTGTGACATTGCTCAGCCCAAAATTACAGAGCCAAATCAGGACCAGACTCGGCCTGCATCAGGTCCACAAGAACTCGATTCAGATGAGGGAGCTGAACTTGATTCGGTCCAGAATGCCCCTGCCCAACTTCAAGTTTATACTCGGCGCAATAAACAAACTAACCTGGAGAGAGACGAGAATGAAGCAAACCAATGGGAAGAACGGGAGGAAAATGAAGAAGAAATAATACAGTCTATTCCTACACCGCCAGTCTCTCCCCAGAATGAACCTCAGGTACGTATCTCTGAACAAAGGTACACTCTTCCAGACCGAAAAAATCGTGGAATACCTCCAGCTCGATATGTGCCAGAAGATGGTACTAATAGCAGTGTGAATTACCCAATTTCGAATTACACTTGCACTAAATTGCTACCAGATCCTTTAAAGGCCTTTGTAAACCAACTCTCTTTCATTACTATACCTGAAAAAGTTGACGATGCTATGAAAGAAAAAAAATGGATCCAGGCAATGAAAACTGAGATGAATGCACTTGAAAAAAATTCAACTTGGGAATTAGTTGAGTTACCTGAAGACAAGCATGTCATAGGGTGTAAATGGGTTTATTCAATTAAGTACAATGAAAAAGGGGAAGTAGAAAGATACAAAGCACGTCTTGTGGCTAAGGGTTATACTCAAACATATGGGATTGATTTCCAAGAAACGTTTTCACCTGTGGCCAAACTAAACACGATTCGAGTTATTTTGTCTCTTGCAGCTAACTTTGATTGGCCTTTGCATCAATTTGACGTAAAAAATGCTTTTCTGCATGGCGACTTGGAGGAAGAAATTTACATGGAGATTCCACCAGGGTACCTTGTGCCTGAAACAAGAAACAAAGTGTGCAAACTAAATAAGGCTCTATATGGACTCAAACAGTCACCCAGAGCATGGTTTGGGAGATTTTGTGATGCTATGAGAAGCTACGGATATATACAAGGAGACTCAGATCATACCCTCTTCTTTAAAAGAGCTGAAGGTAAAATAACTATTCTTATTATTTATGTGGACGACATGATCATCACGGGAGATAATTTAGAGGAAATCAAGAGACTTGAACAAAAGTTGTCTGGAGACTTTGAAATGAAAAATTTGGGGGGCTTAAAATATTTCCTTGGGATAGAAGTATCCCGGAACAAAAATGGTATATTCTTGTCCCAAAGAAAATACGTATTGGACCTCTTGACTGAAGTTGGTATGCTTGAATGTAAACCTGCTGATACACCGAGCGTGAAAAATATCAAACTTGATGTAAACAGATCAAATAAGTCTGTTAACAAAGAAAGGTACCAACGACTGGTAGGAAAGTTAATATATTTGTCACACACTCGTCCTGTAGCTTATGCAGTTAGCATAGTTAGCCAATTCATGCATAACCCAGCAGAAGAACACATGGAGGCAGTTATGAGAATTATTAGATACCTCAAAGGGACTCCTGGACGAGGTATCAAATTCGTAAAACATGGACACACTGAAATTATAGGGTACACTGATGCAGATTGGGCAGGTAACATCATAGATCGAAAATCAACCGCTGGGTATTTCACATTTGTTGGGGGAAATCTCGTAACCTGGAGGAGTAAAAAACAAAATGTTGTGGCTCTTTCAAGTGCAGAAGCCGAATTCAGAGGAATGGTCAAAGGTGTGTGCGAGCTACTCTGGTTAAAGAAATTAGTTTTCGAGCTGGGGTTTAAACCAGAAAAGGAGATGCAATTATTTTGTGATAATAAAGCGGCGATTGATATCTCACACAACCCGGTGCAACACGATAGAACTAAACACATTGAGGTAGATCGACATTTTATTAAAGAAAAATTAGATTCAGGAATTATTCCCCTGCCGTTTGTAAGATCCCAGGAACAAGTGGCAGACATTCTCACCAAGGCCGTAGGAAGCAAGGAATTTGATGATGCTCTAATAAAGATCGGGATGGAAGATATCTACGTGTCCAAGCGAGGGGGAGTGTTAAAATTAGCACTCTGACACGTCATAGAATCAGAATAATCAAGGAATGATAAAACAAAGAAGGCAACCCGTGCAGGAGAATCTGGCCAGCTAAGGATTCTGTCATGACTCATGGAGGAGGCGATGCTTCTTGATTTCTTTACGTAGATGGCTGAAGTTATTACTTATTTTGTATATGTTAAATATAGAAAAGAAAACAAAAAAGGAAGGAGATCTATTTGTAATTCTATAAGAGAGGCTGTATTGTAACAGCAGAGGGACAAGATAGAAAAAAAAACGATTGTAATGCTCAATTCAATTGATAAATAAATCAGGGTGGGAAGGGAGTTCTTGGGAGTGTGTTGTTCTCTGTGTGCATGATTTTTTGTCATATATCTAGACTTGTTTGTAAAAAGTCAGGTGGAGCCATGCTGAAACACGTTCTACCATAATAAAAACTAAAATATTTAGCCCTAAGAGATGTAGTGTCTGAGAAGAACTCGGATCCTGTCTACTATCAAAAAAATATTAGAGCGATCACTACATAATCACAACTATTAATTATCTAATCAGTGACTGTGATTTTCCTAAGTATAAATTAGGAATGAGTGCAATACACGAATGTATGATGAGCGTTAGATTTAGATTGCATCATAACCGCCTATTAAATAATCAAATGTTAAGATTAAAAGTAGTTATCCCTCCACTACTTTTTATAGTGGAGAGGATCCAAATGGGAAAATTTACAAAATAGACCATTTTTATGAAATATATAGCGAAATAGACCACTTTGAAAAATAATTAGCAAAATAGATCTCTTTTGAAAAAAAGAGGTCGATTTTGAAAAACAAGGCTCAGAAAACATACGGGACTACTAGTCCCGTATGTTTAAAGCCAACTAATCACGGATTAGTGACTCAGAAAACATACGGGACTAGTAATCCCGTATGTTTTCTGAGTAAAAATTTTTACTAATCCGTGATTAAAACATACGGGACTACTAGTCCCGTATGTTTTCTGAGCTGTTTTGCAAAATAGACCTCTTTTTAGTCTGTTGGCCAAAAAAATATCTATTTTGCTAATTATTTAGCAAAACGGTCTATTTTGCTAAATAATTAGCAAAAACGGTCTATTTTGCAATTTTTCCCGATCCAAATTCATCTGAGAAGGTGTTCCCACTCTGGGTTGAAGGTTAAAAACTTAGTGGGACCTCCTACAAGCGTGAGGATTCGAACTCAGTTTACCACTCTCCAAGCCAAGGTTACCCTTGTTAGCAAAACAAATAAAAATAAAATAAGATAAAATATTTAGCCCTACTTCATAGCAAGGCTAATAATGTAACCATAAAAGTCTAGGAGGTAACTCCTCTCCAATATGAAGTATGAACCCAGCATGCACATGCATAGGATACGGAATATTTAAAAAAAAAAACGCTGAAAGAAATATTTATATCCTTTGTGGTTAGTTGGACGAAATCTTTTTTCACAAACTATTTCCAAGGCTACCGCAGCACATGAATCCAGACATAGGAAAGTATACAACCATTACATAGTATTTCAATTCTAGCACCTCCTCCGTTCTTCTACAGGAACCAACTCTTTGAACGTACAAACTCAACATGAAATTGTTATTAAACCCTCGTCAGGCCTCAACTTGAACAGAATGAAAATAATTTTACATGATTATTTTCGTGGATTATATTAATTTCCAAGCAGATGCACAAATATTTGGCAAAGGGCAATATGCAACATCCTCTTCCATTCAAGTTTCAAGTTTCATTCCCCAGTTCTACAGGGCTACATCCTTCCAACATCGAAAGATGGGTGATGAAACAACTGCATTGTCAATAATGTCAATATATAAAAAAAAGGCTTCTTGAAGAAGAAGGAAAGAAATAAAACTGCTAGAAATTCACCTCTGACCTTCAAATTGATTCAAAGGATGATCATGATAAAAAAGAAACAGATAACCCTTCAACCTTTAGAAATTATGTTGCAAAAATAAATCCTCTTGTGGAGAGGCAGGCCCAATTTCTTCCTCCAAGCACCTCAAGCTATCTCCTACAGTACTAGCATTCCCCAAATTCCTCCCTTCTAAGATTTTGCCATCACCATCCGCATCAGATACCGAAGATTTCCTTCTCTGCGACGAAGACGTCACACTTGGAAATGTAATCCATGACGGTGCTCTGAACTCGAACCTCTGATCCTCCAACTCAGCAGTCTCAATTTCAGAAGCAGACTGATTTGAGGACCTTTGTGAGGTTGGTTTGTTATGCAACCTACTGCTTCCAAGAACTACTTCAGTGGGTAAGATCGGTTGATCGTTGCATGGGCTGCCCATTAACAAAGCTAGAGCTCGCTCTAATGCGGTCGTCACTTTATCCATTGAAGGCCGATCCTTGCCTCTCATTCTCACACATTTACATGCTATGGCGGCGATTTTCTGAAGAGCTTCGACATCTGAAGGAGGTTTTGTCGCCGGGTCTAACATTGCTGAAATGTTCCCAGCTTTGATCAATGGTACTGCCCATTCTACTATGTTACCTTCTTCAAATTGCATGTCAATGGCTTTTCTACCGCTTAAAATTTCGAGGAGGAGGACCCCGAAGCTGTAGACATCGGATTTTGTTGTGAGGTAGTGAAGCCTGTAGTATTCTGGATCGAGGTAGCCAAGAGTTCCTGCTGGGAGTTCAGATAAAGGGGAGCTACTGTCGGTTGGGCCTAAGAGAGAGAGACCGAAATCAGAGACTCGAGCATTGTGCTCTTCATCGATTAGAATGTTTGAAGACTTGATGTCTCGGTGGATTACAGGGGGGCAAGCGTAACCATGTAAGTACTCAATTCCTCTTGCAGCTTGAACGGCGATTGTGACCCTTCGAACCCAATCCAATTGTTCTTTAAGGCTCGGGTCTTTACCGTGAAGATGTTGGTATAAAGACCCATGAGCCATGAACTCATATACTAAGAGTCTCTCTCCACCTTCTTCGCAATAACCAAGTAAGTTAAGCAAATGAGCATGGTTCAGCCTTGAGAGCAAGTCGAGCTCAGTTCTAAATTCCTTCGAGTTCTTCTTCATATCTGATGATACTACTATCGATCTTTTCACTGCAACAACTGTTCCATCCTTTAAAACCCCTTTGAAAACACAAGAGAAGCTGCCTTTTCCTACTTGTGACTCTTCTTTGAATCCTCCCGTAGCTTTCTCCAACTCTTCGTAGGTGAACATTCGAGCTCTCTGAATCTTGAGCTCCTCAACATTATCAGGCCGGATTTTTACAGACTCCTTATGAAATGAACACGTTCCACCTCTCCCATTCTTTAATTGAATTCCCCTACACCGACATTTCCTCAACTTATACCGAACATAAAGGCAAGCAACAAGCGAAACCAAGAATATCAATACAACCACGAAAACAATCTCTCCAATGAAAATTGGCACAGAAAACCTCCAGGTCTTAGATTTCTTTCCTGAACCACAATATGTAAAACACTCGGGCGAGCTACAATTTGAGCAGTTGAACTGATGAGTTCCTTCTAGACAGTCAGTGCTGCAAGGCAAGCAAATCCTAGATCCTTGTGGCTTGCAAAACCGATCACCTAACTTTTCATGGTTAAACTCGAAGAATCCAGGGCTACAAGAACTGGATGTGCATACCCCAGGAGAGACTGCGATGGGTAAAGACCAAGGGCCGCCGGTGCCCCAACAGCGAGGTTTCAAGAATTTATCAGCGACAATGCCACAAGTGAAGTAATCGCCCGCAGCCATCCCATAAACCCTAGAATCTTTCGGCGGTGGTAAACTATTTGGCAGACGTAAACCCCAGCAAACTACTCCCGGGCCGACACTCTTAATCCCACAAGAATGGAACCTTCCTCCGACAACTGAAAGCATTGGATCCATCGGTACATGCTCAACGTCATCTCTATTGCCTCCTACACTTCTCCCCCAACAGAACACCTGCAAATTCTCCAAGACCCCGCAAACATGAAACCCACCAGCTGAAATCGATCGGAAACTCAACCCTCTAGGTATCAAGCTTATGACATTGCTCCCGGTTTCATCCCCAAAGCAAAATGCCGATAAACTATGCTCAAACAGACCACAATTGAACCCCGAACCAGCTGAGATCGATGAAACTCTACCCCCAAATTGATGTGAAGCGGTCATATTATATCCCCAACAGTCAATTATAGAGCTTTTGTTATCGATTCTAAGCCCACAGAGATGATTATCACCAGCACTGATTGAAGAATATGCAGCGTTTCCTTCCATTGGTTGAGGGACTCCCATCTTGACATAGAAATTGCTCCCCCAACAATAGGGTTGCTTTGAATCCAAGAGAAGGCCACAAACAAAGCTATCACCAGCAGTTAGTCCTAAGAGAGGGAGCCTTGAAGGAGCTCCATAGACTATCGAGTTATCGGCGCCGAAACAGCTAACAGAATGAGAGCCATCTGAGCTTAGAGCACAAAACGCAGGGCCATTTTCACCATAGGAGACTGCAATTGAGGACATAGAGCCAAGGGACGAAACCCTTATGAAGATTGCCAAGGTCACAACTTGGATCAAGAGAACTGATGCTCCTCTATAGACCATGTTAAATTAAGACCCAAATGGACAAAATTTGATGCCACCCTTAGATTTTGTCATACAGAGCTCAACTTTGAAATGATGGTCCATGACTTAACATAGAAAGTAGCTTGATAGAAATACCCATATACTTCAAACCCCATATTTTAAAAACCCAAATGGGAAAACAAAGATGCAAGTTTCTAAATTTAGTTAGAAGAACTCACCAAGATTAGAACTTTCGAGGGAAAAAGCCCAATGAGCAGAATTCTTTGTGGCCTTCAGATTCTTTTCTCTCCGCTGGAAGGTTTTTGGTTGAGAGATTGTGAAGAGCAGAACAGACAGAGAGAGAGAGAGAGAGAGGGGTAGGAGAGAAGGTGAGAGCAATAAATGGCATTAACTGCAGTTCTCTGTGTCTAGGTGAGAGAAATAAATGCTCTCTATGTTTTCATGCCTGGATCTCTGCACACTTGTCCATCAATTCAAATTCTTCAGCGAGACTTATGCTTCATCTTTTTTTATGGGAACCTCTTATACGCACCCTCCTTTTATGGAACATGCACTCATTTCTTCTCTCTCGACATGCAATGTATGTATTGTTACATAGAGAGGTGTATAATTTTTTTTTTGTTTGAGTGATGTTATTGTTTGCTGTCATTGTATACTTGCTCCTTCGGAAAGATACACTAGTTATATACAATTAACTAGTGTTCCCCTGCAAATCAGGATTCCTTTTTTTATTTCCGCTACAGGAAGCCATTCTTTGAGGGGCTGTTTGTTTGCGATTTACGTAGGGGAAAAACCTGCCAAAAGTACAGCTTTTGACAGGCTTTCCACCCAAATCACCTCTAAAAGAGGCGATTTGGGTGGAAAGCCTGCCAAAAGTTGCACTTTTGGCAGGATTTTGGCATGCTTTCTACCCCTTTCCCCCTAAAAAATCTCTTTCCAAACAGCCCCAAACGGTGTAGTAATTTTTTATAAATGTTACAGCAATTGTAAAATGCTATAATATCCTGTTTTTTTGAGCTACAGTGATATTGCTACAGCAATAACACTACGTTAATTCATTGTATCATTATACTGTAGTATAAATAGTGAATTTTTAGAGTAGATATACACTTCTGTTGATCTTTGTTGTTTAATAAGCAGAGTGGTGGTTTTCTGTTGGATTCAGTTCTAATCCAAAGTGGATGAGGTCTAAGTTACTGAGGTAAGTATTTCAATACGTGGTGAAAAATAAATTCTTCCTTTTTTCCCCCTCTGGTATTATTTTACTTCTGTAATTTCTGGCATTAGCCTGTCAAACTTACCGAAAAGGGGTGCAAGGGATCAGAATCTACTTAATTTTTCTTCGCTGATTTTGACTGAAGCTAAGATATGGGAGGCCTCTCTCTTTTTGGCTTTATCCTCAAAAGTTATTTCTTTTTTTAAGGAGAGAAGGGCAATGTTTGTGTTCTTCTATACAACTTTTGACTTTATGGCCTTTGGCATCTAATTAGCACTGTAGTACTTTTCTAAAATCTAACGTACTCTTCTGAATTATGATGAGTCGTTGAGCTCTGTCATTTTGTCATCTGTAATATAATCTCACATCCTCTACATTTAAAGCAAGGTCACTTGGCTTTTGTTATGGAACAACAAGTTCTAGTATTTAATCCGTGTAAAGCACGGGTTAGTCTTCATATGATTGGCATATTAAGCCCATGCTAATGTTCTTCTATGTCGCTGACCTTGGCTTTTGTTATGGAACAAGTTCATTTTTCAATTGAACTAGTATTTAATCCGTGCAAAGCACGGGTTAGTCTTCATATGATTGGCACATTAAGCCCATGCTAACTGTGATCTCATGTTCTATCGAGTCGAGTCGTGTTTTTTGTACCTAATTCTAGGCTTGTCCATTTAGCCGCCGGTCCTGTGCCCGGGCCCGGTGCCCGGCCCCAAGAAACCCGTGCCAGGCACCGGGTTCTGGGCCAGGTACAGGCCGCCTCGTCGGCAGCCTGGGCCTGGCGCCGGAGCAAAAACAATTGTCCGCGGGCAATATAATGCCGGGCCGGGCGGCCGCGGCCAGCAGTGCGCCGGCCCGGGCCGCAACGGCGCACACTAAGGTGACGCGTTGAGGGTAAAAGGCCGGTCGGGCCGGTCATAATGGCTATTTTAGTCATTTTGATCGTTTTGCCCCTAAAACGGTCAAAAAATAATAAAAATGAGGGTATTTTGGTCATTTGTCTAGAGGGCTACCTCTATAAATAGAGGGGGGGGGGGGGGGGGGTTTCATTTGTTTTTCTCACACCAAAGCTCATCTACTTCTTTCTAATACTCTCTTATACACTCTTATACTCGCTTATACTCTCTAATAATCACTTTAGCTCTCTAATTCTTTAATCAAATGGCTTTCGGATCTGATTATGAAGAGCAAAATCTAACTCTTGATCTTGAAATAAGCTCTCCTACTACAGCTACTCCTACGGATCCTAGCGATGTTAATCCCGGATCCGGTGGAGTGACGATTCTACACCAAGAGGTCCTAAAAGGTCAAGATCCGATGTGTGGAATTTTTTCAAGAAGATAGACGTCACCAAACATGAACACGATAAGATACTCACCCAGAATGCTAAGTGTGCGTTGTGCGGCAAGATTTTCCAAGCTCATCATAAGAGCGGCACCAACCACCTCAAATGCCATTTAGATAAACATAACCAAGGCCAGACGCCTCAATGTGATATCCGACAATCTATGATCTCTCAATCCTCATCTTCTGGTAGTCTCGGTAGTTGGAATTATGACGCAGCCCGTGCTAGAAAATGCGTCATCAGGTTTATCATTCTTAAAAAAATTTCTTTTAAATTAGTAAAAGATGATGAATTTAAAGATTTATTTAGAGATGGTTTTTACCCCGCATTTAAAAAAAATTCTCGTCAAACTTGTCAACATGATATTTTAAAACATTATCAGGATGAACAAGTAAAAATAATTTCTTATTTTTAAAGTTTAAACTGTAAATTTTCTTTAACTTCTGGTATTTGGACATCTAGAGCACAAACAAGTTATTTATGTATCACAGCACACTGGATTGATAAAAATCTGCAAATGTTTAAAAGAGTTGTTTTTTTTTAAAATGTAAAGCCCATACTAATTCCAAAAGATGTTGACCATAGGTGGAATTCCACCTACGCAATGTTAAGTGTAGCAATAGAATATAAATAAATTATGAATGATTTTATTGCTTATTATTCTTCTAGTTCTAGCTTTGGTAGCACCTATAGAATAACTGAAGATGAATGGATAATTATAAGTAATTTAAAAGAGATGTTACAAGTTTTTTATGATGCTACAATGTTATTATTTGGCTGTTATTATCCAACAATTACTTTAGCTGCTTTACAAATTTTAAATATTCAAAAAAATGGTAAATATCGTATGGATGAAACCTTTGGAGATATAATTTTTTAAATGGAAAGCAAATTTAATAAGTATTTTAGACCTATGCTTATAATTTTTGGTTTGGGGATTCTTATTGATCCGTGTTTGAAGGATATTGGCCTTCGAAGTTTATTAAATTTACTGTATGGTAATCAAGTTATAGACTTAGATGATGGATCCACCCTTACTACAACTTCTCATCATAATGCTATTGGAAATTATTTTTAAACCTTATATGATGAGTATGCAGCTAAACATGGTGTAGCTGCATAACAGTCTACAGCTTCGGCTTCCTCAAGCTCAAGTCAAGTTAAAAGTGTAAGTTTTGATAGGTATGCAATGGTAGCTGAGCTAACTGGTGAATATGGACTTGGATCAGCATTGGAAGTTTTTGAAATAGATGAATATTTATCTGCTTCTTTAGTTAAATGTCAAAATAATAATTTAGATAGTTTGCAATGGTGGAGAGTATATAGATCAGTTTCATATCTTATACTTTCTACCATGGTCCGTGACTTACTAACAGTGCAGGTTTCGACGGTAGCTTCAGAATCTGCCTTCAACACAACAGGATGTTTGATCGACGACCACAGGACATCGTTAGATCCGTATACTGTACATGCGGTGATGTGCTTACAAGATTGGTGGAGGTATGAGAAGAGAACGCAATGCATCGATCGGTTGGCTAGAATTAAAGATAAATTTAAAAAGTTGGGACTAGCATATAAATATAAAGATTAAAGAATATTTATCAAATTATAATTTTTATTTCTTAGCTAAAAATTTATAATGAATTATTTTGGAAACAGTTGCAAATGATAGTGATATAGGTGAGTAGGTGACAACCTAGTTCGGATGTACTCATCTATTGTGATGCGACGAATTCCGAAATAAATTTATACTTGTAAATGATTTATTAATTGTTAATAAAGAAGTTATTTTTATCATCTTTTATTTTTATAATTTTTTGTTTTTATAATTTATGTAATTTTAAGTGATTAATAATATTATTGTTTTTTATTAAAAACTTGTGTACTTTTTTTATGTATAATTAAAAATTTAAAGAGATTAAAAAAATTTAAAGACAAAAATAAAATAAAAACAGGGCCGACCCGACCGGACCCGGGGCAACCGGGCCTGGGTTCAGGCTCCGATTTTGCTCGGCCCGGACCCGGTTTTCTGGGCCGGACCGGGTCGAGCTGGCCCGGATGGACAGCCCTACCTAATTCATAAACATGTACATATCTCTCTATCTATAACTATATCTATTTAATGAATACTCATATCACTAGGCCTTTTTTAAAACAAACATTTTTAAAGAACCTATTGACATAATAATAATTAACGGTTTTTGTTGCCAATACAGCATAAATGTAAGCATATTAAAAATTTGAATACAATCTGTATATCAAAATGTTCAAAGCAACTCATTGAAAAAAATTATACACGAAATGAACCCAACATTTGTATCCTTAAAGTGAGGGGTGTCCATTTGGCCCGCCGGCCCAGGCCCGGCCCGGTGCC